TCAACAATATCTCACCTTAACTCATGTCAAGGAATTTTTTAGTCACCTCTCTAACCTATATTATTACTCTCATACCAAGATAGAGTAATAATATACAGAGGTAACTCAACAATATCTCACCTTAACTCATGTCAAGGAATTTTAGTCACCTCTCTAACCTATATTATTACTCTGCGGAAAGTTCTAGACGGAAACCTATCACAAGGTCCCTCTTTAAACGAGAGTTAACTAAAACTAAACCGTAGCCATAAGAGGATAGAGTAACAATATACAGAGGTAACTAAGAACAATATCTCTCGTGCTCCCTATGCACAACTTGCATAGTAGCACAATGTCGCCTAAAACTCTCCAAAGGAATAACTTTGGTCAACGCATCAGCTGGATTGAGTTTACCGTCAATCTTGACTAGCTCAATTGTTTTATCAGACACCGCTTGTCTAATAAAGTGATATCTGATGTCGATGTGCTTCACTCGGCTATCCATGACTTGATTCGCAGCCAAATGTAAAGCACTCTGGCTATCACAATGAAGATTGACCACGCCTTGTGTTAGTCCCATCTCCATGATAAGCTTATCTAACCAAATAGCTTCCTTTGCTGCTTCTGCTGCTGCCACGTACTCAGCTTTTGTTGTTGACTGAGCTACGCACTTCTGCAAGGTAGATCTCCAACTAATGCTTCCGCCGCCAAGTGTAAACACATATCCGGTTGTAGATCTCCTCTTGTCTAGATCTTGTCCATAGTCAGCATCAACGTAGCCAAACAGGGACTTGGCATTGTCTAATAAGCCATCAAACAATAAGCCATAATCCACAGTACTCTTCAGATATCTCAGAATCCATTTCACTGCTTCCCAGTGAACTTTTCCAGGATTTGACATGTACCTGCTCAACTTTCCCATTGCTAGAGCAATATCAGGCCTAGTGCACACCATTAAATACATGAGACTGCCTACTGCTTGTTCATAGGGAACACATGACATTTTTCCCTTTTCCACAGCATCTGTAGGACATTGGGCTGCGGAAAGTTTAAAATGTGCCGGCAGAGGAGTCCATACTCCTTTCGAATCGGCCATGTTGAACCTGTCAAGTATACGGCGAACATACTTGTCCTGACTCAGCCATAGCTTCTTCTGTTCAAAATCTCTATAAATATCCATGCCTAGTATCCTTCTTGACTCCCCCATATCCTTCATCTTAAATGCAGACTTCAGCTGGCTTTTGCATTCATCGACATCGGATTGGTTCTTTGCCAAGATAAGCATGTCGTCAACGTAGAGTACTAAAATGATGAGATTGAAAGTCTCATCATTCACCTTCTTCATATAGACACAAGGATCATACACGCTTCGTAGAAAACCTTGTGCCTTCATAAACTCATCAAAACGTGTATTCCACTGCCTAGGAGCTTGCTTTAGTCCATACAATGATTTCAGTAATCTACAGACCCATCTTTCCTGACCTTTGACCTCAAAGCCAATTGGTTGTCTCATGTAGATCTCCTCCTCTAAATATCCATAAAGAAAAGCTGTAACCACATCCATCTGATCCATAACAAGACTGAATGTTGCGGCCAGTGCACATACCAGACGAATTGTAGCGTATTTTGCTACAGGCGAAAAAACTTCGTTATAATCCACACCCTTTTCCTGTGTGAAACCTCTAGCCACCAGTCTGGCTTTGAAGATTCTTGCATCATCTCCTGCTGGATTGTCTTTCAGCTTGTACACCCACTTGGAGTCAATCACTGTCTGATTTTTAGGAAGCTCAACCAACTCCCAAGTCTTGTTGTCAAGCAGTGACTGCATCTCTCGCTCCATAGCAGCATTCCATTCAAGCTTGTTGACTGAAGCTTGAGCTTCTCTGTATGAAGAGGGTTCACCTTCTTCCAGGATCAACGCCATACCATCCTCCTCTTCAAAATCAAGATCACGATCCTTGAGAATAGATGAATTTGCCCATGCACCAAATCTCTCAGGCGCTCTACTAGATCGTTGTGATCTCCTAGTAGACGTTTCCATTTGATCTCTGTTGTTTGGTATTGTTGCAATAGGCTCACCAATAATAGCCTGCTCATGTGGTTCTTGTTCCTCAAGAACTTGCTCCACATGTATCGGTGCTTCTTCATGTGACATATCATTAGTGATAGAATGATCAAACTCCCCCACAACAATATCAGTGAGTAAAGATCTCCCCTTGTTAGCCTCCACATTCTCCCCCTCTTTCAATAAGCGAGGCTCATTGAAAGAAACATCTCTACTAACAATCACCTTGCAGGCAACAAGATCCCATAACCTGTAACCTTTCACGCCACTAGCATATCCAAGAAAACGACATTTCTTGGATGTAGGTTCTAATTTGTTCCTGTGCTCCTTAGGTATAAGGGGATAAGCAGTACACCCAAAAATCCTCAAACGACTATAATCTGCCATCCGTTTATGTCTCAATTCAAACGGTGTGGAGAAATTGATTGCACTAGAAGGAGAAAGGTTTACCAAATAAGTTGCGGTGTTGACAGCTTCGGCCCAAAATTCCCCTGGTAAACCGGATTCGCTTAGCATACTCCGCACTTTCTCCAACACTGTTCGATTGAATCGCTCAGAAACAGCATTTTGTTGTGGAGTATAAATCGTCGTGAAATGGCGAGTAATCCCCTCCTCTATACAATACCTCTGAAATTCTTCACTAGTATACTCGCCACCATTATCTGATCGTAAATATTTCACCTTGTGTCCAGTCTGAGTCTCAACTTGTATGCGCCAACTTTTGAAGGTTGAGAACACTTCAGACTTGTGGGTAAGAAAATATACCCACACATACCTAGAGTAATCATCTATAAAGGAGACATAGTACAACTTTCCAGATAGTGAGGCAACAGGAGATGGTCCCCACACATCACTATGTACATACTCCAGTATGTCCTTGGAATTATGAGTTCCAACGCCAAAAGTTTTCCTATGTTGCTTTCCCATGATGCAATGTTCACAAAATGACAGATCAACTTTACCCAAACCGGGTAATACATTTTTCTCATCAAGAAGAGACATGTATCGATCACTCATATGGCCTAATCTGGAATGCCATACATGAGACATCTCAACGCGAGATCTGGTAAAGTGAACTTCGCCACAAACAGTGATGCCCTCTAACAAGTACAGATTATTATGCTTGTATCCCCGAAGAATAATTTTCTTATCACATGATCTGACATCTAACACGCCCTGCCGAGAACTCCATTCTAAGCCGTGTGAGTCCAACACTCCAAGAGAGATCAAGTTCTTTCTCATGTTAGGTATAAACCTAACCTGGTTCAATGTACGGTTGACACCATCAAACATGCGGATCTTTACAGATCCAACACCCTCAATTCTACAGGGTTGGTCGTTCCCCATAAGAACTGAACCGTTTGATACGGAGAAAATACAAAAGAACTCTCTAATGTAACAAATGTGATAAGAACAAGCACTGTCCAGAATCCATACATCACCAACAACTTGCGGTGAGTTGTAGAGGTGACTAAAATTATAATGGTTTTATGGTGGTGGTTCTTGTTCCTCAAGAACCACATGAGCAGGCTATTATTGGTGAGCCTATTGCAACAATACCAAACAACAGAGATCAAATGGAAACGTCTACTAGGAGATCACAACGATCTAGTAGAGCGCTTGAGAGATTTGGTGCATGGGCAAATTCATCTATTCTCAAGGATCGTGATCTTGATTTTGAAGAGGAGGATGGTATGGCGTTGATCCTGGAAGAAGGTGAACCCTCTTCATACAGAGAAGCTCAAGCTTCAGTCAACAAGCTTGAATGGAATGCTGCTATGGAGCGAGAGATGCAGTCACTGCTTGACAACAAGACTTGGGAGTTGGTTGAGCTTCCTAAAAATCAGACAGTGATTGACTCCAAGTGGGTGTACAAGCTGAAAGACAATCCAGCAGGAGATGATGCAAGAATCTTCAAAGCCAGACTGGTGGCTAGAGGTTTCACACAGGAAAAGGGTGTGGATTATAACGAAGTTTTTTCGCCTGTAGCAAAATACGCTACAATTCGTCTGGTATGTGCACTGGCCGCAACATTCAGTCTTGTTATGGATCAATCTGGGTGGGTTAGCGGCCGCCTGTAACCCGAGTGGGAGTTGGAGGCTGTGGAGCAGTGTTTCTCTGCTGGAACCGGTTGCGGCATGTGGATGGCGTGTCCACCTGAAGCGTGGGGTCGCTAGCTGAGATCTCCCCGGAAGGAGTAGATGCGTGGCTGAGGTGAGCTTTGCGCCGATTAGCGCCTCTTCTCGCGTAGTGGCGTGGCTCCTTCCTCCCTCCCTAACCGCGCGCGGGAGTGGAAGGAGTAGGCGCTGCCTGCCCTAAACGCGCGGGGCGGGGGGGGGGGGGGGGGGGGGGAGCTCCCTCCTGCCGGAAATACTCCGCTCCTCTCCTGCCCTAACCGCGCGGGGGGAGCTCCTTCCTCCCTCCCTAACCGCGCGCGGGAGTGTGGCCCTCCGTGGCTCTTCCTCCCTCCCTAACCGCGCGCGGGAGGTGGCGTGGCTCCTTCCTCCCTCCCTAACCGCGCGCGGGGGTGGAAGGAGTAGGCGCTGCCTGCCCTAAACGCGCGGGGGGGGGGGAGGGGGAACTCCCTCCTACCGGAAATACTCCGCTCCGGGGAAGGGGGAGATTACTCCTTCCTACTCCACTCCTCTCCTGCGGGCTCCGCTCCTCACCTGTCGCTACCTCCTGCCTTCAGGAGGGGTAGCTGCGGAAATACTCCGCTCTTGTTACTCCAACTCGTACCCTAACTGCCTGCTGCCACCTCCAGGTACAAAAGTACTCCCTCTGGAGTCCGCTCGTGCGCGACCTGGGGGTATTACTCCCTCTTGCGCGACCTGCGCGGCCGCTCCGCTCTTGCGCGAAGGAGGGGGGAAGGGGGAGAACCGACTGCGCTCCTTCCTACTCCTCCTCTCTTCCCTACCTGCCTGTTGCCACCTCCAGGTACAAAAGTACTACTTCCTCACATTCAATTGTACCGTGGCATCGAGACTTGATCACACCATGTCGAATCGAAGTGAAAGGCGATCGCAGCGTGACGTTACAATTCGCCTTTTGAGAAACGACAGTGTATCATAAGCTTGCAAAGTGGGACTGTGGCCGATAGTCGTCCTTCTGTTTACTCCTTCAGCTGCCTCGAAACGTTCTCTCTGCGTTCGTGCGGTGCACGCACGAGCGGGCAGAATGTTAACCCACCTCAATGTGTGGCGGGGTGTTACGAAGGCAAATATCTTCTGCTCACCACTTTCGGAACTGAACGGGAAGAATGTGAAGGGAACTACTTCACCTCTTCCGGAAATTTGCAGCGTAGAGTCTAGTCGGAGCAGTTTTCAACCCCCGGGGAGTGACGAACGTGATGGCACCTCAAGAGCGAGAGAGCCGCGGGTGCTTCGGGCAGCTGTCTCCGGTAATACAGAAATTCTGAGAGCCTTCAGCCCAGAGAGGTTGTGAATGCTCTGCGGGAGGACTATGCGCGTTCGTACTTTCTGACAGGAGAGTTTCTGGATTCTCTCTACACGGGGTACTGCTTGTTTGCTGATCCTACTATTCAGTTCTCAGGACGAGATTTGTATAGACGTAATTTAAAATTGCTGGTCCCTTTCTATGAGGATCCTTCACTCACCCTTGAAAGTATCCAGCAGGACGAAGATGGTGACTCAAAGTTCGTCGAAACTTCTTGGAAATTGAGAGTTTATATAAAACTACCTTGGAAACCCTTCATTGCTGTGGATGGTCGCACCAAGTACAGCTTAAATGCCGAAAATAAAATCGTGGAGCACGTAGAGAGCTGGAATGTGACAGCGATAGAAGCCTTGGGGCAGATTTTTAAGCCCTCCGAGAGGGCACTTTGGAAGACCTCCAAAAGTTAACTTTACTAGAAGTCGCGCTGACGGTAGTCGAGCCTATTCCCTTACTTCGAGGTGAAAAACCTGACCACCATCACCATGACCTTGCAAAAAACCCCAAAGCGACAGAAACACTCGTTTCCAGGCAACAATCCCTTGGATGATTGCCCGATGCAGAGTGAACGACGAACTACTGGTAGAGCAAGTGCCGGCTACCAAGTAGAGCAAGTGCCGGCCTTCTGCTACGATCCACGACACAAGAAGAACGAAGTCCACCACCAGTCGCCCTCCGAGAGCCAAGATCTCACACCGCCCAAACTCCGACGCCTCAACTTAGCTCTCGACAATCTCTCCAAATCTCAAAACTTCAGTAGCTTGACAGAACTTCTACAACCTGCAAACACTTTCACACTCACTTCGAAAAATTATCAACAGAATCTGTCACTGAGTCCGTCAGAAAACCTTCTGTTAGAAAAACTGTCACCGTACGAAACCAACCCGACAAAACCCTCCGACACTAAGTCCGAACCGAACCTGCTCTGATACCAAATGTAAACGGTAAATCGAGAAAACATAAAACACAACATATCAAATCACAACTGAGACACTATATAACGTGGTTCACCCTCAGGGGCTACGTCCACAAAGGAATACGCTCGAGAGAGTTTACTGTTTGTTTGAAGTGATACTCTTCCTATCACCCTCAGGGTATATATATACCCAAGGTAGTCAACTACCTAAGCTATAAATAGCTACATATGCGGTTAACCAAGGTTAACTAACCTCAGTTAACTCCTTAACCAGAGTTAATATCAACAGAAATCAAGTCAAGATTTGCATAATATATTTAATTTCTCATCAAGTCTTACTGTACAAAAAAAAAGATGATAATAATGTTGTAAAAGATTTAAATTTGAAATTATATCAAAACTATTCTTGTACTAAGAAATTTGATTATCCATGACCATTGAGTTTTTTTTTTATATGTTTTTGAACCACATATTTTTCGTTGTAATCATTTACGAATATCAAAAGGATGTAGAGTTTTCTAATTTTGTAAAGAAACAAATATAAAATATATTTATTTTTGCATATTTTATATTAATGTAGATATATTTTACTTTCATAGATTCAAAATTAAAATGAAAATTTTGGATTTGATAATATCAAAGAAACAGTTTTCATTTTGAACTATTGATAAGTAAGAGATGTGCTTGTTCTGTTTTTGTGAGTTCTTTAAAGCCTCAAATGTGAAAATTAGAACTGAATGTAATGTGAAAACTAAGATTTCAATGTGGATTAGAATAAATAAAATCTTGCATGATTTTTTAGATATTTTATTTTACATATTGAAATGGATTTCAATTTGTTACATTGATTTTTTATATTTTTCTAATTACCTTATTTTTAAATTAATTCTTTTACACTCATAAATAAATAATAATATGAAAACGAAGTGTCATGAATAAGAGTTAAAAGCCTCCAAACTTATATACAATCATAAGATTTCAGTTTTCATGTCGTCTTATTGAAATAAAAAACAAACATCTGAGCGAAATTGATGTTAATTTTATTTATTTTTGAGCACATCAATGATGATATAATATGAAAATAAGTTATCATTAAATCATTGTGCTATTGTTTTTAACTGTCAGCTTGTGAGATATGAATCTCTATTAAATTAATGTAAATACAAAACTAGTCATCATAGTGATCTTGTGGTGCAGCAATTTAGTTGACTTGCAAATTAATTATACTTTTTGCACTCTTGCATTTTATTTCAAAATTAAGACATTAAGTTCAAGCTTGTAGCAATTCAGATATATTCAAAAACTATTATGAACCAAATGTGATAAACATAATAATACAAAAAGTCAGATGTGAGAATTTTTTGAGGTAATATAATAATGGAACCATCAGTTGAAATCAAGATTTTTATTGAAAAGTTGTAGTTTATTGAAAACTACAACTTTTCAACGACAGTATTGCTCTAGAAAATTAAAAGTTCATTTTCTTGAATGGTCATGTAGTAAATTTGTTTGCCTATTTTAAGATTTATTTTTATTGATTTTAAATATATTCCAGTTTCACAGGAGTCCATATTCTATCAAACTAGATCAGATTCTAAAAAATTTTTTTTAATCTATTGCTATTGTATGGTTTTGAAGATTCATAGTCTAACTGCAATACACCTTAATTTTTTCTAGATTATCTTTGTTTTTACATCAAAGTCGATTTTTTCTCAAGTTGATCAAGTTGCATCCATAAACTTTGTTTTTTTCCTTTTTTAATTTTTTTCATCCAAAACTATCACAAACTATGAAATCAAAACTTCAACTTAAACATTGTAAACAATTATGACATATGATAATGTGATTTGAGTGGCATCTACATAATACACAAAATATTATGTGTATGTTGTCATAATTTTCTATTATTGTCAAAAAAATCTATCGTACAACTTTTTTTTGGCGTATTTTCTTAAAAAAATTATACCTAAGATATAGACTTAATCCAAATATAAATATATTCTTTGACGTTTTATCTAAATATACATATATATAATTTAAAATTTCGTAAAGACTAGATAAATTCATGATTGATTGTCACACAAGTTCAAGAATATAAGAATACAATGTAAAATATCTAATTGATCTAAAAACCGAATTTTTCTCATGATTTTACAATGAAATATATTAAATTATGATAAGAAACGAGCGATAGTATTCTAATTGTCATATAATTACATCTTAACAAAAAAACAAAAAATAATTTATGCATAAATAGAATGAAAAATAAAATTGAAATGATCACATGTGTTGTGTGTGATCTCAATATTGACTTGGGTAATATAATCAATACTCAAATAGTTCAAGAATAAGAATGATAAACATTGATAGATGAAAAATTCAAAAAATCAAAATGACTTCCTGCATGAGTATTATGTCTTATTTTGTTAAGTAAAATCTACACTAATTGTTGAATTTATTAACAACTTATAAATTCTTATTATTTAATGATATCTTAAGTAATTATAACATACCTTTACATAGTTCTATTTGGAGGAATTTCTATCCAAATGGAGTAAAAATTTAGCTAAATCCAAAAAAGCAGAAAATAACCTAACGCGACTTCCAACTTGTCACTACGTTTGTGTTGAATGCTGTTGCAATTATATAACAATTGCTAACTAATTTTACATTCACTTTTCACTGAAATGCAAAAAAGAGTATAACAGTGGATGATATTCATGATTTGATAATGTTTGTCTCTACTGACGAATGTGGAGCTGTAGATCCGAGACCTCCCGTATTTGGACTTTGTTTTTAAGACCGTAATCATCATGTTTAAGTAGAGTTTGAGTCTTGTTGCTAATTGAGTCTTTGCTAACTTCTTTTCAAGTATGAATTGGTATTGATTCTAGAGTTGCATGTCTCTTCTCCCACTAGCGTTTAGAACAAATCCATTCACATACAAATCAATTATTAACATGAAGTTTTTATGTGTTTTTGGATGCTTGTGGTCAGGAATTAATGAGACTCATGCAAATGCAAGATTCGTTGGAACTAGAAATTCAAGCTTGGTCTTGGCTTTGAAAGAATGTGGAGAAATTTGCTCTTGCAGGAGATCCTGCTTCTGATAATTGGATTTAGCAAGTCTGCTATAGCAATGCAAAATGTCCAACCCTATCCATCTATGGCATTGCTAGAGTGCTACCGATTCATGAGCTTCTTCTTCCAAGCTCCCATTGATTATTTGACTGTCATTTTGCCGACGAGGAACAGTCATTTGCAAGAGTCTTAGAAACCCTCCAACCTTTTTTAAGCTTCAGATAGCTCGAGAGTCTATAGTGGTATTTGCTCCAACCACTTATGGGAAGAGCACGAACACTCGAAGAAATTTTGCATACAAGTGTAGGCTGGATGCAGAAAAAAACACTAGACCTTCGAATATTAGGAATGTATACAAGAACAAGATAGAGCCTAATTTTTACAAATGTATAAACGGCCGATGGACGATCTAAATACTCCACTGCACTAGTTTTGCCATACAGTCTTTGCATATTCTGCTGCGATTATTTCAGAGACATGTTAGACCAGCACTAGTATCGTGCATCCTGGTTTCTATCCTTTCTCTAGCTTTTGATCACATACATGACTGTCCAGGAATTGTCGACTAAAAATGTATTGCCATTGGTTGCTTTGCTCGTCGAGGACATTTACACAGATGACTTAGGTCTCATATTAACTCTCTCTCTCTCTCTCTCTTTTGTTGGTTCCAAGAAAGAAATAAAATTTTTGTTACTCCTCTAGAACTGTGTTCGAACTAGGGGAGAATTCCGATGTGTTTGTTTAAAATGTTCACTTTGTTCATGTTACAGTACTTGTGTTTCAGTGTAGCATTGTTTAACCTCCGCTTCCCTATCATTTTCATTAGCTGGTGTGGTCGACGAGCGACTCTTGCTGAACTGTTCTGTCTGCGAATAAACACGTTTGAAGCTGCTTGAGAAGCAACGGAGGAATGGATTAGCTTCGTCGAGGATTTAACTGCCAGAGAGTTTTGAACTTGTCCACGTCTGATGGTCTGATCAAGCGCTTGCGCCACTAGAAGGTACAGTACAGGACTGCATGAACTTGGCGTCATGAGGTTGTGCGGATTCCGAATTGGTCACGGATTGGAGACGCTGCAGTGAGAGATGGAACATGCAATTACTTTGACACGGTGCTTCGTGCTACCATTTATTGCTACCCAGAGCAGGGCAGGGTGTACTGCACTAGTTCCAAATGCTCCTTCAGCTCCTGGTGTGGGTAGGAGTAGTGCCTCGATCAGATGCGAAGCCATTTCGAATTTTCTCCGGCTCCCGTGCAAAAGAAGTGCTAGTGGTCCTGCTCCTCTGCAATCCCGATCAATCCATCCAATCTCTGGACCATGCTGTTCTGCTTCTGCTTCTAGCATCGTTGCGGAGGAGAAAATTGAATTTGAAGACAACAAGCAGCACACTAATGAGGGAATCATGCATGTTCTATTTTTGAGTAATGGACATGGTGAAGACACCATCGCCGTCTCTGTCCTTAAGGAGTTGATGGTAAGCCTCCACACCGTCTTTCTCTTTATGCTTTCGGACGATTTCTTCGTTATATTTCGAACATTGTCGGAAGTATACGATCTGACCGTGATGTAACAGAAGTAGTGTCTGCTGTGTACATCTTATGATTGAGCCTTCTCCCTGTAATTTGTGTGGACATGGTTTGATGTAGTTTGTTGCAGAAGAGAGAGGGAAGCAAGTCAATGCGGTGGCTCTGCCTTTGGTTGGAGTGGGTTCTGCATATTCTCGAGACGGTATAGAAATAGTCGGCCCCTCTAAGATTATGCCAAGTGGCGGGTAAGCAGGTGCAATTTGACATAGTTGTGTCAAGTAGTTGAACATACAGGGTTCAATAGACATGCCCTTCTGTACATATATCTTTCATTTAACACACATTTGTGATAGTACCATGTTAGCTTACGATATCCTTCATTAAAACAGCAGAGTGCATGAAGATTTATTATGATAGTCTGGAATGATTATCAAACTGTATGAACTCCACAGATTTATCTACATGGATGTACTACAGTTATTTGGAGATATGCGTGCAGGATTACTGTCTTTAACTATTGAGCAGGTATGTTCTCGCTGGTGGGCCTTACCTTTCTTTCTCTACAGCTGATGTATGTTGAAGGATTTCTCTACAACTCTTTTCTTTTCCTTCTCAACATATGAAGGTGTAATATTCTGACGAAAAGATTCCTTGTGAAGTGGCGGGCCATTGTGCAATGGTTGGATAATACCCCATACTCCTTCATTATTGCGGTTGGAGATATCTTCCCCTTGGCTTTGGCTTGGCTTGCTTCGATACACTCCAGAAGGAATAACAATAGAATTCTCCAATATGCATTCGTGGGGACTGCTAAAAGCGAGTTCTACATCCAAGATGATCCCGATGATATTAAAGCAACTCGAAAACGCTTTCATGGTGAGGTTTTACTAACCTTTTTGGTAGCTAGTTTTCCACAACTGATGGTCAAAGAAATGTTCCATGTGTCTGTATCATATGTGCCAAATAGCTGTAAACACAACGGAGTATTAGGAAGTGGTTTCCATATATAATTATAGAAGAAGTCTAGTTTTCTGTTTGTCATGTAAATATGTATATGAACATCAGTTATATCCAAAATTAAAAAAGATCTACTCCCGTCGGTTTTTTCATTTGCTTCACTTATCTAACTAGATGCAAATTCATCCAGCGTTAAATCTTACTTTGTTTACTTTGGCCACTGCAGTTGAGTCACTACTTGGAGGAGTATATCTACCATGGGAGCGTGCAATCATGGCCGATGCTAACTGCAGGTGTGGTCATGATTCTGATATCTTCGAAGCGTCATCTTGGAACATCTGGCAGTGCCATTACATATTCACCGTCTTTGAACTGGACCTTTCAAGAATGTCAGTGTGGAAGTAGTTTGTAAGAATCTACCACTCCGTTGCTGCTGGACAGGCTTGTAGCTCCGAGGGATGGTTTTACTGCTGAAGTTCTGAAGAAGAACCTGCCCTCTTATGCTCAGGCCAAGGTAGGCGTACAGCCAGCTCTCGAACAAGTATGACCCTCTCATATTTGATTGCTGAAAGGAGTGTTATAATATAGTGTCGTATTTAAAAGGCTGAAAGGGGCTATCTTGGTTAAGTTATTGTGGTGTTAAAAGAGTTACTCTCATGGATAATTCTTACCAGGTGTATGATCTCGGCAATCCTATGATGGACGGCTTAGAACCGTCTGGAGCTTTAAATTTCCTTGAAAATTCCGAAGATGGCCATTTTGTGACCATTCTTCCAGGTTCCAGGGCACCGGAGGTATGTATTGCATTCTTTATCTTTCCTCAGTCGTGTTCTTATTTTATATTCGTTCACCATCTCTGGAGTGATGGATGGAGAGAAGGGCCTGATACGCAAGACATACACATGTTGATTACTTTTTTCTCGCGGATGTTTGGATATATGTGAATACCATGTGGTGCCTAATGGCTTCTTCAATATCGGTGAAACTTGTAAATCATAAATTAGCTTGCAGATTAAATTTGCTCGTTGTATTTGCATGGCCCGTGTACGTACAGACCCATTGCCTCCTTCGATTTGTGTCATCAAGACGTATCTAGATCAGAAAATTGAAAATTTTCACTTGCAGGTGTATTCAAACTGGACCTTGCTCTTGAAAGCTTCAGACGAAGTAATGTCTAAGCTTTACCCGAAAGTGGTGGTTTACATTACGCCAATAGTACCTTCTCTGGAACCCGGTCCGTTTTATGATTCTCTTGTGGAGGCTGGGTGGGAACCTTACTGGTCTCTTTCCGAGCATCTGCATTCCTGCCATGCAGCGAATGCTACTTGTGTTAAGGAACATCGAAACAGAGCAGAGTTATGGCCAGCCAACAATGGCCTATGCATTTTACAATTTCATAAAGATAATGCTGTCATGCTTTTGTTCCGTGGTGGCTTTAATGAAGCGAGCCACTGGGCAGAGACTGCCATGGCGATGGCTGGCACGGGAACAGAGCAGTTGGTAAGTTCAAAATTTGTACTAGTCTATCGTCCACCATGTCTGATGTTTGAAATAGTATCAGGACAATCTTAGCCCAAACTTGAAAGGCAAGTTTAAACTTACTGTTTGGGTTGGAACATGTGGCTTTTGGCTGTTGGAGTTGTCTACGAATCGAACATGTGAAGTAGTGTTGCGATAGAGGACAGAATTAACTCACAACATTGATGGTTTTCAACTCCTCTTTCAGGTTGGATTGGGAAAACCAGTGTTTACACTCCCTGGTGATGGTCCGCAGTTCACGTATGCCTTCGCTGAGGCGCAATCAAGACTACTTGGAAAATCTGTAAGTATTCGCAAACTGCCCTTCGGTGCTTGATATCTTTGAAGATATAAGATGATATAAGAACAGTCTTCATTGTACTGCCGATTAGCTCATTGAATGTGAACGCTATCAATATCACCTCTCTATACGATTAGCTAGTGTCTTCCCCCTTAGTTTCATCGGGCAAAGGTCGAAGAAGGTTTATCTCTACGGTTTGACCTCATCGGGAAAGCTTGCATACGCATACAGAGGAAGAGTTTCCTCTATTCTTGATAGTTAACTTAAGTTTCCAATTATTATTTGGACTATGGACCTCTATGTCTTCCTCTGAATTAGTTTAATCAACTGCTCAAACGGCTACAACGTCTGCCTCTTCCATTCTTATTACGGAGCATCTATTGAGACCACCATTAGACAGACTGAGTCATGTAGATGTTGACAAACCTTCTTCCGACTGGTACGGCATCTAGGATTTAGCAACAAGAACTTGCTAGAAATTGAGTTTCCATATGCAGGTCTTTGTAAGACAATGAGTTATGGCGGATGATATGTGCTTGCAGATCTTTCTTTGCAGTGGCCCACAGTCGCTCGCCATGAAGTTGTCCGAGGTGCTTGCTGATAAAGCTTCTCTTACTGCGTTCGTCGAAAATGGTCACAAGCGAATGGGAAATTCTGGAGGTAGTAGACGAATAGCTGAACATATTTTTAATATTATGCACAGAACTTTGACATAACACGAACCTCAGTATGAAGCGTTGAACTTCCAAATCACGGTCCATGTCTCAAGCAGGATGATGTAAAATTGTCTTAACCGAGAAATCACCCTGAATTCATGAACCACGATCTCTTCCCGACCTACAGCTAATACGCACACAGAAATCAAATGGTATGTCTCGCTATACGTACTCTGAGGAAACACTGGGTTGTAAAACACTGAATTATTCTTTTTGGATGGACTGACAGAACCCTGAAACTGAAATTGAAACTGAAAGAAATTGAGGCACATGAAGAGTAGTAAGGTGTGATGCTGCCAATTGCGACTATCCTCCATATTTGAACAAATGAGCGCCTGTAACAGGACCAGTCACAGGGCCGTCGTAGGATTGTGCGCACAATGAGATTGTGTCAAAAGTAAGAGCGAAGAGCGTGAAGATCCATATTAATATGCAGACAGTGCAAGGGACTGAAGTAAATGTTTACGTAATGACTTACCCGAAGGATAGGTAAATTTCTTGTCAGGTTTACCCCTGGAAGCAGATAACACCGGAGTATTATATCAACACCAAAAAGTAACGCTCGATGTCATTTGCATAAGACGCTGCGAAGGCAGTTAATGATTCTTCTTTAATCCAAGAGAATAAAGGGTTAGAATATATGGTTTTGAGATTCAGAAGTTGTATAATCCAAGGAAGGGAAATTTTACTTGTAAAACAAAAGAAAGAAAAAATTCAGTAGGCAAGGAATGCAAGTCCACAAGTAGGCAAGGAGATGTAGAAACACTCAAAGATATTTACCATACGTTAAAGCGAGCTGTTCATGCAACAAAGAAGCAGTCGATTAGAATCCCGAGATTACTTGGAAGCTGAACTTGTGCCTTTTACTTCCGTCATCTCGAAAGAGTTTTGAATGACATGAAGAGGTAAAAGCAAGCAGACCACTAGGAGAATATTTGAGACTTCTTGTAAGCGGACGCACATGCAATACTTGCATTCCAAGCTATACGAAAAAGTTAATTAAGTTTTCTACTGAGCACCTAGTGGACATGTTTCTAATCTACAGCACGATGCAGAATTGGTTGGTATTTTAACCAAGGGCCAAAAAGTGGGATTACAGTACAAGATTATGAACCACTAAGCACAAGTTTCGAGCAGACACGTAGGATCTGTCGGTTACTGTGGTGCCTACAAACTAGAACCAACGCGATTCGATCCTTGGTTGCAGAAAAATGTCTTGATACAAGTAGAGAGGTTGGTGAACTGTAAGTCAGGTGTTGATGTTGGGCTTAACGTTGCCATGAGGCCGCACAAGTGGACTTGCTGCTCTTCAACCTATCCTCGTGACTGGCAGGCGATATGAAAAGGCCTGTCCAATTCTGAACGAAGATATCGGTCTGACATCAAATTTCGGGTCCAAAGGACCAGGCGAAGGGACAACGAACCAACACAAAAACTTCTAAATACATAGCACAGCTTACTTCTGACCTCTGGAGAATAAGATTTGCTGCCGCCGATACTCGTACATGGCGACGCATCTTCCCGAAGATGGAACCTGAGATGTGTCCCCTTGAGACCGTCAATACATTCACCGAACATGGTTGAATAGATCTTATACAGGCGATAGAGAGAGACCCTCAGAGTATTCTGGGCTGCACATCTGTCTGACTCTTTTTCCGACACAACGACTGAGCTATCAGCTATCAGGTATATGTTTGTTTCTTCTCGCTGCATCTCACTTAGATTCTTTGTTTGTATTCGTGCTCGTACTCTCCCTTCGGTTGACATCACAGGGTTTCAGAGTCTCTGACCAAATGAACTGTCACCTACTTGCGAAGTCTGTCGTTCAGCTTTCACCTTCAGCCTTCATCTTCAACTGCTGGCAGACTCATTACTGTACTGCAGTGCCTTTGACCTTGTGACCTGCCGTGTCATGGCCATTGATGCTGTCAAGTGAGGGTAAGCAGCTGAGAGGAAAGGAGGTGCGTCTTGTCGAATTCCAATTGGATGAAACTTTCGCCATATGGCGTGAAGAGTTGTACTTGGAGCTCGTGATTTCACTGCGCTCTGTTCATTTTTACACATACATTTTACATCCCCCACACCATCTGAGTCTCTTTAACAGTTCATGCCCGTAGATGCAAGTGTGGACGGTCGTTTGCACGCTTCACAAGGGCAAGTTGAGTAAAGAGCAGATGCGGGTTTTTGAGTTTTTTGGGGATGTGAAAGGTGATAGCGATCAGAAAGAGACCTTTTTTTGTCATAAGCTCACTGTTTTTAGCGAGTTCCTTGATTTGCGAGATACAGAATGACCTTGTCAAGCTCTTCTACGTTCTTGGAAGCGAAGGTGGCACGCGATGGCAATGCTCTTGGCTTGGTGTCTCTGTGTGGTCGAATGTGTTTATTTGGGCTGTTCTAGAGATGCCACGCATCGCTTACTCTTCTCGGTTCTACTGAGCAAGATGCTTACTTGGACTCTGTTCCTTCAATGGCGTTGCCTCCTCAAAACTCTAAAGCTGAAGTGAAGTTTGGAGTGGAGTTTGTTGTGGAGTTTCGCATCCCTTCTTGTTCTCCCAAGAAAATTCAGAGTTTTAGTGAAACCATGTCGACCTTTGACTGCTTGGATTATGCAGGTAGATATTAATGCGCGGTGGTTTGGGGAGTTTCGTCCCGGTTGACACGTTCAGACTGTTTCCTGGAGGGTGGGTCCTTCCATACGTGTTGATCTTGTAAATGTGGTTTGGATCGAGCTTTTCTCCAAAAGTTGTGTTTGGTTTATTATGCCATTTTGTGCTCCTGGGGCCTTCTGGAACTTTCCACGTTCACTCATGAGCACACTTTAACAATCGTGAGGGCACCAAAACCAACCGGAGCTGGTGGACGTATCCAAAATTGTTATTGCATCTACGCAGAATCGTCATGCTCACTTCAAAAGCTGCACTAAGAAGTTGGTTAGTTGTTGGTCATTTACGATGACTCGACCATGTGCACCGTCCATCTACTTCCTTCGTGATTACCTTCCATCCTTCACATGCCGCTCAGTTTGAGCCTTGCTTTTGCAGAGATAACCATGTATCGTAGAGTTAACCGAGAGACAAGTTAGTCATGCACTGTCTTCACTCAAATATCCACTCACTCACTTCCTCCGTAGCACAAATGTCTCTATTTTACATCTGAACCAACTCCTGATTGATAGTCGATGTCGAATGATGAATTCCAGAGTTCCAAATAAGAATTCCAAATGGTCACCTTCGTTTGCAAAGCGGGGCGTCAAGTTCCAGCGCGACACGCTTGATAAGCTCCTCTACATCTACGAAATGCAAGTCAACAAATCCAATCATGGTTCGTAACGGTTTACATGAATTTACTGTCAGACAATTCGATGCGGCAGCTATTGCTGAAAAGGAGTGACGTCCACGAACTTTTCCTTCTCTTGTGAGGGGCCACAGATAAAGGTACCGACACGCGTTAAGCTCGAGGACCTGGAAAGAGTGTTCCACGAAAGTAGAAGGCCTCGATACACTTGGAGAGAAAATCACTTACCCTACCGATCTATGACCCTCTCGCATTAATCAAGTAGCCAATTTATTCTCTGCATCAAAGTTGTTAGCTTTCAACCAGTTGTAGTGCTTCACTTTCGTGCCTACCGCGTACATCAAAGCTGATGTCGATCTTTCCCGAAGAGGAGAACGGCCTGCCATTGGCGCCGCTTTCATTACAGAGAGTCTTTATCTTCCATCGAGAAGTTGATGGAACTCGGAGGTTTCATGAACAAGTTGTAACTGTCCGTATAGTATCTCTAGCACAGGAGATTTGCTTAGATTTGATGTTTCAAAGTAGAGATGAAAAATTGGCGAGTTCTTCTTACAAGTGGGACTTCTGTTGCAAGTGACATGGCCGAAACAAACGCGTTCATGATTAGTGTTGGTTGCACAACAAATTTTTTTGAGGCATGTACATCTTTCCTTTCAAGGTTAGAGGGCATGTTCATGCCCCTTGTCATGCTTATATGACAATATAGAAAATTTGAAGAGAACAAATCATTACACTCCAATCTTACTCATCTATTACTTCCGTCTTGGTCTTCCTCGCAGTCACGTTGTAATTTAAAGATGACTATATTTTGTATCTAACAAAATCAAAATACAAATCAAAATCTTTATGGAAATCATCATTATCGTTCGAATCAATCTTCAAATCTTCCAAAGTTGAGTTAGTTGCTAGTCTTATATTTAGTTATTCATCTAAGTGCTATGTTGAATGAACTCTCTTGATCCAATGTTAATGCTGCAGATTTCCTTGAAAATAGTTTGGAATGTAGATCAAGCCTGGATAGGGAGATGACAAGCATCTTCATGCATTTCACCATCATGAGGTTGCAAATTCTTGTCTTTGACCGTGACAACTGGAAAAATAGTTGCTCCATTGCATCATTATAAGGAGCGATGGAAAAAAATTTCAATGCAAACACACGTAAAGTCTTTGCACGGATTGCCAAAAGTCCATTACAAGATCTTTGTTTGAATGCGTGTGAAGTCTCCATCCATACTAATGTAATCTTTTAATTGTGCTAGCAATGATATCGTATCCATCTTGATGAATCTTCATCCATTGGCAAGATCATCTTTCTTCATACTTTGCAAATTTTTTTCCAATATCATTGTAGATGGCAGAGATTTATACTAAGGATTCAAAAAGAGAACTACAAAGTAAATTGGATGGTAAACTCCTGAAACCCTCTTGTGGATAATCTTTTTGAGCTTGACATCAAGCATATCTCCACAATGTTCACACATTGCACCATAGTGATTTTCACTGCCTTTATCGATCGAACGATAAGAACAATACCATCTTGGATTTATCATCTCATGTGTTTTTTTTCCATCCACGTGATATATCTATTTGATGTCTAGAAATTTGACTGTGATATATGACATTGATATTGAGCTCTTAGGTTTCAAGTTAGGTACATGAAGAACAATGAATCCATCGATGTGATAAGTTATTTTTTCCAAGAAAAAAATTATTTTCAAATAAACATTCTTCAATTGCCACAATCTGATTCCTTATAGCATATTTCATCTGTTCTAACAACTGCACTAAGACATATTGATTGTTGCAGCGTGCGAACACAAGCTTGCACACTTGATTCTGACATTGCAATTTTGATGACCTAAAATACTAACAAATCCTTGAATAACTATGGTGTTGCCAACACTTTCTTTGGAGCTTGTGGGGTACGAAACGTA